ACGACGGGGGACAGGACGGGACGGGACGGGACGGGGGGGACGACACCTCTCGCCTACCCCTTCCATATTTAACCATTACCTAAATCCGAAGGGAAATGAGCAAACCTCTAGGCTTGGGTCTTAAGGTATTTTCAGCGCCGCTGGGCGTATTTATCCCAGAAGAGTTTTCCACAACAAGTTATTTCAAGCCTAGGAGAGGTCTCCGTTGCCCAGGGCCCGGCCTTAGCCCCAATAACAACGCCATGCACGGCCCGATGGCGGCGGGAGGTGTGTTCCCCCACTGCCGGGCCAAGGGCAGGCGATGCAGCGCGGAGCGGGCAGGGCGAGCGCCGGCTGCCCCAGCCCCTGCCCTCTCCCCGCCCGAATCAATCTGTGTTTTGAATCTGTGACTTGTTCTCGTTGCGGAAGTCGAAGGGGATCCAAGAATAGTTCAGATAGATCTGTGTAATTTCTAGAGCAGAACCCCGAGAGAAACGAAACGCCCGATTCCAAAATGACACTTCGATGTCACTTCAGCGAGCTCTGTGAGGTGGAATACGGTAAGACGTTTTCATTTAAGGAAAAATGAGAGAGAAACAGAGGCGGGGAACACTACTGATTTGTGAGGCTCTGGCGCTTTTTGTAACCTTTTTTTTTTTTTTTTTTTTTTGCAGAAGCTCCTAACTAACGCTCAGGAAGTGGAATTTGTGGTTTAGGGGGCCGAGCTCTGAAGGAGTTGAGAGAGACAGAAAAGTTAAAAAAAAAAAAGCAAACTCAAGAGCACCATTGCTCCTTAAAGGGAGACTAAATTTAAAGTCACACAAATTAGCAGGCTGCCGCGCACACCCCGTCTGCAGCCCAGCTCTCTTCGGCCCTCCAAATGGGTAAGCGTTCTCGCTTCTCTCGCCTCGCGTGGGCAGCTGCCGGCGGGCGGGCTGGGGCGGCAGCAACCCTTCTCCGCTCGGCTGAGACCCCGCGTCGCTCCTCAGCCGCCCGGCCCGGCGCCAGCCCCGCGCCCCCGCAGTGACGGCCGCCGGGCGGGTGCGGCCAGCGGGAGCCGGGGCGAACGGCGGCCAGGTGAGCTGCGGGATTCGCCTTCCCACGGGCACGGCACCTGCCTGGCCAGCTCCGGCCTTGGGAAGCCGGCGGCGCCTCCGCGGCGTGACTTTTGGAGGGAAACACGCGGCAGAAGAGGCGCCGCTCCCAGAGCCCCCAACGGTTGCGGCAGCCCTTGCTGTCGGGGTGCGGGTGGGTAACGGGTTATCGGGCCGCTTTGATTTCTCTGCCCGCTCCGTGCAGGCCCGCTGGCTGCTAGCTCCTGCTCAAGGATGAACGCAGGCACAGGTGGGTTCGGGCAGCAACGCTCCCACCCAGCTCCGTGCCGGGGAGGCGGCGCCTCCCCGGCAGCGCTGAGCAGCCCGGCCCCTGCTGGGCGCGGACGGGCCGGAGCTTTGTCGCACAGCCAGTGCCGCCACCTGCGGGGCAGTTCCTGGTCCCCAGCTGGTGCGCTGGGGCTCTTCCCTCTCTTCCCCGTTTGCAACCCTCCAAAGTCCCCTAACCCCTCAAACGAACGTGGATTAAACTCGCAAAGTCAAGTGTAACGGCAGAGGCGTCCCGGTGCTGGATGGGTTCGAATGAACCTCTCCGGCTTTCCCCCGAAGAGTCGGCTCGGGGTAGTTTTATTTAACCCGGTCTCCCCCGACTCCCGCAGGAGAGTTCCCACCTTGTCTCCTTTTCCCGCCCCGGCTTTCGGTGCTCGCAGCTGCAAGGTGGCGCGGCGCCGACAGCTGCGGGCTGGAGGAGAGATTCCGTTTTGTTCGTTTTCGTGTTATCGTGGTTCGCGCGGGATGGGTGAATCAGTCCCTCCGACAGCAACAGCCTCCCAGGCGCCAGGTTTAGGCTGTCGGGTTTGTAACGACTCTCCCTCCCATCCCGGTAACAAGCCCGTCCAGGGTGGTGCGACGTGATATAAGCTGTTTCGGAGGGGAGATTTCTTGGCGCCGCTTCTGCCGTGGCTGCCGGCGCAGGGGCAAGCACGGAGGCGCGGCGTGCCCACTTGGAGGGACGGGATAACACCCGACCGCACCCCCTAGCTCCCTCAGCCCCCTCTCGTCCGAAGAACGGTGCCCAGCTGGTGTTATTGCCTGCTCCCCGCAATCCGGCAGCGGCTGTCGGAGCGTGGCCGGGGCGGCCCCAAGGCCACGGTGGGAGGGAGGGCGGGTAAAAGGCGTTGGCTGGGGAAGGTTGGAAACTGAGTTATCTGCACTCCTGGAAGAGGGGGCGAGGCGAGTGGGCCGGGGGCGGGGGCCGGAGCCACCTGCGCGCTGCCACCTGGCGCGCCGTCCCTGGCGAGCGGCCCCTCCTGGCCGGCGCCCCCGGCCCTCACCGGCGGGCGCGACGCCTTTCCGCAGGTCGCCTCCCCGCCGCCGCCCCGCAGGAGATTCGGGGGTGACACTCGCCGCCGCCGTGCCGGGCGCTTAGAGAGGGAGTGCGGCCGTGCCGGCCGTGACAGCACCCACCATGCCGAGGTCCTTCCTAGTGAAGAGCAAGAAAGCGCACAGCTACCACCAGCCTCGTTCCGCTGACGAGGACTACAGCCTGCGGCTGGAGACGGTGCTAGCCCAGATCTGTGCAGGTAGGAGTCCCTCTGTCGCATTCTCACTCGGAGACTGCCCACCTGCCCGACATCACCTAGGTGCTCGCGGCACCGGGCGGTCGCTCTGAAGCCCCTGCGGGACGCCGGAGGGGCTGATGCGGGTTTGGAGAGAGTCGAGCATCAAACCTTGGCGGGAGCGGGCCGCCGCGGGAGGTGGCTGGCTCCGACTACGGACCCACACTGAGGAGTTCCTTCTTCTCCTTTACCCTGCAGACCCCTGCAAGATTCCCGAGGACACGGAGCTGTGCCGCACCGCCCTGCCCGATCCGGAGCCTTCCCGGGGGCGCTTTTCCCCGGAATCCCACCTTACCGAGGCTGCCGATGGCACCTCCGAGTCAGCGCCCAGCTGCGAGGGCAGTGTCTGTGACAGAGTGTCCGAGTTCGAGGACTTCTGGAGACCTCCCTCGCCCTCCGTCTCGCCAGGTAGGACCGGGGCGAGCAGCGCTCAGCGAGGGTCCGGCTGCATGTCCGTGCCCGTGCCGTGGGGCAGCGGACGGACCATGCATCTCACGGCTATGTGCCACCACCACAAACGAGTATAAGGGACAGATTTGCCTGTCCCTTTTAAAAATTATTATTATTTCCCCCCCAGATTTGCCAGAATCCGTTCCTTCCACTCGTTTTCGGGTTCCCTCTTTCGGGTTGCTTTTCCAGCCCGTATTGTGCTGCTGAGGGAGCAGCAGGTGACAGGCTACAGCAGGAAAGTTGTCATGACACGGGGTGCTATTTTTTCCTTTGTGATTACTTGTTAGATGTAAGCCAGGTTATGTTTAAAAGGTCCCGGCATTCTCCTACAGGGTCGTGCCTACACAGAATTTTTCAGTCATTTTAGACAGTACACGCAATTTATATACCTGCAGTAAACAGAGCTAAACAGAGCTGATTTTGTGTTTTGTACAATCTGCCAGACATTTTCCTAACGCCCTTTCTTCTGCTATTTGGTTGGGGTTTGTTTGTTTGTTTGTTTGTTTTGGGGGGTTTTTTTGGGTTTTTTTTTTTTTTTTTTTTTTTTGGGGGTTTTTTTTTTTTTTTTTTTTTTTTGGGGGTTTTTTTTTTTTTTTTTTTTTTTTGGGGGTTTTTTTTTTTTTTTTTTTTTTTTGGTGTGTTTTTGGTTTTGTTTCTTTGTATTTTTGTTTGGTTTGGTTTTTTAAATGTCGGTTTATTTTTCTTTTCTAAAAACACATTTGTAAAAACCAGAGGGAAAAAAAGCCAATGACGGTCAGATTTAAACACCCCAAATCCAGGAAACTCACACTTATGGCTACAGTGCCTGTCTCTAGCTCCCTTGTCCTGCCTTTGATGTGGCTGGAGCAATGGAAGACGTTGTCCCCAGCCTGGCACAAATACTTATCTCGTTTAAAAATACAATGATGTCATTTTAGAACAAAAATATGTACATATATATATATATATAAAACCATTTTTATTGCCTCGATTAAAAAGAGACAGCTGGACAAAGGACAATTTTTGTCTTGATGAAGGAAAAATTGTGTCAGCTTTACCGACTGACAGCAGACGCCAGCAAAAAAATACTTAGTCCCGGTTTGTCACCATTTCCCACTTCGTCTTTACAAGTGTCCATGCATATGAACGGCTAATTGTAATGACGTGGATTTGCATTTTTAAAGCCTCATCTTCTTTCAAGAGTCCTAAGCTCCTTTAAGGGGACATTCAAAATGCTGCCCGGGATACTTTCGGTCTGTGCAAATGACACACCAGACCAAATGCAGCATTCTTCTGGTAATATTTCTGCACAGACTGTAGCAATGTGTGTAATTTTTGTTCTAACGAATTTTTCCTGCCCCTCCTTTCCCAAATAACTACAATTTCTGCACAGGAAAGAGACCATTTTCATGGAGTGTCAAAAAGATAGATGTAAAATAGAGCAGATATTTTATCAGGTCTGCTCTGCCTTTTCCTCCTTCCCTTTCATTTCTTCCCTCACTGTGGGGTTCATTAGCTTCTGGGCCAACTATCAGGCTGTCCAGGGAAGATAACTTTACAAAATGAGGATGATGTCCCCAGATCAAGATTCTTCAGGGTGGGGTGGGCAGTCCTGGAGCTGTCTGATCCCATTCACAGGAGGTCCGGGAAGGTATAGAACTCCAAGTACATAAGGGCTTTATTAAATGAATCTCAGTGCATTGAGAGAGATGGTGTTATATTAATGATGAAGGCAGTGGCAAGAGGATTAGATAGTTGGGCTTCCTCCCACAGCTCACCTCCTCCAGCCCCTCTGCCTTCCAGCTGCTTTGTTAGCTTCAGTGTGAAGCCAGAATTTGTGTATAGGTCACTTCTGCAAGATGCAGTGGCGAGAGACTGAATTCCTACAATTGTGTTTGGATGGGGCACAATTTTTGTGCTTTGTCAGCCAGAGCAGATGAAAAATAATGGTTTTCAATCGTGCTGAAGGCATGTGTAGTAGTACTACCACTCCTGTATCTCTAGAAGTGAACACAGGTGCAGGTGGCACTTCAATATGCAGAGAAAGCTGTATTTATTTCACTTTTGTCTTTGAGTGCTGTGCTGCTGATGTAGGCAGTCATACAACATACAGACATAATACATGTTCACTGCATCCGTGCAAATCACTTTATTTAACCTCACTTTCTACATGTGTCTAATAACATGGGTGTGCATATGCAGAAGGTGCATGGGAGCTCAGTGCAGCAGTATTAGTAGCTCCTGATGAGCCTGTTGATGCTGCAGAAGGAGAGAGACTTTTCCTGGGTATAATGGAATTGTGCAGAAAATGTGGTGTTTGTGTAAGAGGATGCTCCAATCTTTCTTTGTTATGCATATCAATCTGTACCCAACCATTTGAGTTTGTCTTGCCTTCAAAAACAAGCACTGATTTATTTTTTTTCCTCCCAGAAGTAGTCTCCATAATGGCTGCACAGAATTTCTAGGAAAATGAGGGAGAATGTTTCTCAGTGTCTCTGCTCCCCCCCAGATGCTGTGGAGAAGAGACACATACAGAAATGCCCTGCAATGTGGGAGAGCAGAGTTTGGAGGTTGCTTTGCCACTGGGCTTGGATAGCTTGAGTATACTGTGAGGAAATACCCTGCATTTGTGCTTGAGAGGGCTCCAAAGCATGTGAGGTGATGGAAGGAACATTGCACGCAAACTGATCTGTGGTGCAATGTTCACTGTATACTTTATTGCCAATTCCAAGGGCTCAAAAATCAGGTCAGCCTTCCTTCTCACTCAATGAGCTGGCTCAGAAATCAAGATTGTAAGTAATACCTTATGGATATTCAGTTCTAGTGTTGAAATATTGAGGGTTTATGTTTTCATGCTTTTCTTATAGTTTGAGCTACAAGTTGACTTTAAAAGGAAAAAATAAAGTTATAACAAGAACAAACAAAAGCAAAGCTGAGGGCCTGATGAAATCATGTCATTTCAAGAGCTGGGACTTTAAGATAGGTTTGAATTTTGTGATAAAATCGTGAGAGATGGCAACACTGAAACTGGTTGCAAAGACACAAGATAGATGATGCGATGCTGACCACAACTTTGCAGTCAGTGCAGAACAGGAAAAATCATGCTGAACACCATGTCAGCTAATTTGATTTCATCACTCTCTTCAAATGTCCCTGCTGGTATGTGTGCATATATTTTTAATAAAAAGATTGCTAATTTCAATGGAAGAATTTGAGACTGTTAACATCTGAAATTATGTAAAAGATAGGAAAAAGTCAAGTCATTCAAAGCTCAATTTTAACCTAATTTCCTACTGCCTTCTGTAACCCCTCAGTGTCAACTTGCCTATCCAAATGGATAGCCTAACACATCGTGCCTTCTTTGCCTAGTCCACCCCCATTTATCCTGGTTTGCCAAAGGCTGAAAAAGCCGTGGGAGCTGACATGAGTAAGAAAGAGATCCATTGTGGGTGGACAAGTTTCTGGTTAAAGGAGATTACTCTGGAAGCCCAAGTTATAAGGGAAGCCAATATCTCTATGAAGGCATCAGCATTTCAGTAATTGATTCATCTCTTCCTTGGCTCACTAAAACTGTTGTCCAGTGGAGACATTTGACTCTCCCAGTGCTACTGCCTGTTATGATGAGGACTGAAAGCAGTGTGCCTTGGGCATTAATCAGCATCTCTGGCAGACACTGTTGGGGTCTGGTGCCCTCATGTTCCATCCCAGTTGTGCTTTCCTCCATGTGACACTCGTTGAGCAGTTGTGCCTTTAGACACTCCTCTCAAAGGAGTGCCATTGTATCAGACTCTGCTGTGGGCCACCAAGTGTGATTCCTGTGCCCACTGCATTGGTCAGATGCCACTGCTGAAAGCAAGCCTCTTAGAATCTGCTGAAGCCATTTGAGCTTACCCCGGTGGAAATTTGCTTTGATTACCACTGCTAGGAAAATGGGTTTTTGTCTTCAGGTTTTAATGTGGCCCATCCCAATGATTTTACAAAGCTCAGTGTTTTGGACACACTCAATTTCTTTATATGGAGAACCTCAGAGCAATCTGAAACAACCATGATTTTCTTTCAGATGAGAAGTAATTTTTTTTTTTAAAAAAAAAGTGAAGCATAACAAACAAGCACCTCAGAAGCTGTTACTTAAGTTATGCTGTAGTATAGTTATGGTCAGTTGTGGCATGAAGTTGAGAGACTAGATTTGGGCATTGAATTGTGCAACAAGGTTTTTTAATTTTGTTGATCAGGTAAATCTCAGCACATTTGCTCTGTCTGGCACCTCTGTAATGTTATATTTGCACATATATATATATGTGTGTGTGTGTGTGATCTCTATCAGAGCTTAAACATGTGGACTGTCAGCCTTGATGTCCATCTTGGGATATGGTAGATACATGTTTCCAAGAAGCTGCAGATAAAACTATAGGAAGCTGCAGACTGAGTTGTTTAGATTCTTGCTAGTCTGATCAGTGTGTACACATGAGGTATCCAGAGATGGAGGTAGACAAAATTGGTGTTGGCTTTAAATAATTTGGCTGGAACTTTGGGTAAGTAGGTAGTACTGGACACTGAGGTCCTAATATGCAATATAAACTATCCTCCCATTGAGATGAAAGGGCAGCCTCAAAGTGCAGTACAGGGGTCAGGCTCTGGACACAAGCCTAGGTGCTGAGGCTGTTCTGCCTTATTATAGCATGGATTGTGAAGCACACCAATTCCCATGCCCTTGTGTTTCCACAGCCTCGGAGAGATCTGTGTGTCCATCCCTAGATGAAGCACCCCCTTTCTCAGTGCCCTTCAAACCGTACATGTGGAACAGTCTGGGTGGCTCTGAGCTCAGACACCTTGTGCAAAGCTACAGGCCCTGCCCGACGCTGGAGCGGACCTCAGCCCTGGGGCTCTTCTGCGACCGAGGCTCGGAGCCCGCCCTCTATGGCGCCGAGTGTAGCTCTTCCCTGGGACTGTATGGTGACTTCAGCTCCCCGGGCCCGGGGCTGTTTGAGCGGCCGCCAGCAGCAGCTCCTGGACTCTATGCTGAAACTCAGCCTGGACTGCAGCAGGAGAAGGGGCCAGGTGGCATCAAAGTGGAGTCTGACCTCTTGTGCCGCCCACTGCTCATCAGCACTGGCTCTTACAAGTGTGTCAAGTGCAGCAAGGTAGGGATTCCTTTCTCCCACACTGGATATGGCTCCCTCCCAGCCCTTTCTCCCTGGCAAACTTAACGCTGTGTACTGTATTTCCTCAGGTCTTCTCCACACCGCATGGCCTTGAGGTACATGTGCGCCGCTCACACAGCGGCACGAGGCCCTTTGCCTGTGACATGTGTGGCAAGACCTTCGGCCATGCAGTCAGCCTGGAGCAGCACAAGGCCGTGCACTCACAGGTGAGAGCAGGCAGGCTGCCAGGATGGACGGCTGGGGACCAGGGCCAGCTGCTCTATTCTGCTGGCTGGGGAAGCCACGAAGGCAAATACAGGGCAAGGAGGTAGGGACCTATACTGAGGAGGGGAAGAGAAGGTGGGAGAGCTGCAGTGGGCAGCTGTAGGTGAAGAATATTGTGACAATCAGAGGAAAGGGTGGCCAGTTAGTGTGCAAAGGAGCTATGAGGTAATTAAAGAACACAGGCTTTGTTTCCATTCTTCAGACCTTGCATGTGTCGTCTGTATTAAGCAATGGGCACTTCTGGCACTCAAGAAGTAACAGAAAATAATAAGTGTTCACTCTCAGAGCTGGAAATTGCAATGCAGATGTTGGCTTTTTTTAACAGCTAAAGCAACTCAGTGTGTTTTCTTCTGATGCAGCACTCCTCATTCTTTCTCCTCCCTCCCACAAAGCAGTGAGTCCTTGTTTGGAGTCATTTTTGTCAGTGCAGGGAACATCTGAACGACCATTCAGGTACAGAGCACTGACTTCACCCGTCTCGACACACTGAGTCACACACCCAAAGAATATGGTGGTTAATTTTGGTAGGAGGACTTGTAACATTTTCCACCTGCTGATACGATGCCATATTTCCCCTTCCCCACCCACCTGACCTGGCAAATCTTCCTTCTTCAGATTGACTTTTGGAGGATAGAGTTACAGCAATGTTTTTTTACTCTTTATAATTTTGTGAGTGTGCAATCAGCAGAGCACACAATGAAGGGAGATATCTCATTGTCCATGAAACAATGGTGAAAAGAGCAGCACTGCATAATGTGTCCATGGAGGGGACAGCATTTTGGGGAGAATGCATTAAAAGCCAAATAAAGAAGGTGATTCTGTGAAAGCATAGAAGGAAGCAAAGAAGGAAGAGGAAGGTGCAATGGGAGTTAAGGGATGGAAAGAAGAGATGATGTGGTATAAGAAACTGATGGAGAGGAGTGTGTGAGGGAGAGGTGAGAGACAGTAAGGTCTTAATGCATTTGGTTTTATACGTTGAAGTAGTAAGCTCAAAAGCTGTTTGTCCCAGGTGCTCTACATACCTTCCACTTGAGTTTTAATGGAACTAAAAAAAGCACTTAGTTTACCATGCCAGAACTCAGTCTACCAGAGTGATTTCCCAAGAGACCCAAGCAGCCCTTGGCACCCACTTTCCTGTGTACAGTGGAGAGGTGGCCTCTGAACAGTACTGCAGCTGTTGGGCTTCCCAGTACAGTGATTGTGTCTCAGGCCTCTGATAAAGTGTGCTGGCAGACTCTGCCCAGTCCATTGGGGTTGCTCCCACCTGGCCATTCCTGCCAGCAGGAAGAGCTGTTCAATTAAATTTTAGTAATGCACAGCGCTAGGAGAGGATGCATTATCTTTTTTATCATGTGGTGTTGCTACCAAGCCAGTGTTACCATCTGTGTGGGCCAGTCCAGCTCCCTGGAGAAGTATAAGTTCTTGCTAAGGCAGAAGGAGCAACACTCATGTGCAGTTGGGCAGTTTGTTGCTGATGGGATCATTGGTGTGATGTGTGTGTCTGGGCTCATCTCTCTGCAGGAACGCAGCTTTGATTGTAAGATTTGCGGCAAGAGTTTTAAGAGATCTTCTACTCTGTCCACCCACCTGCTCATCCACTCAGACACCCGACCCTACCCGTGCCAGTACTGTGGGAAGCGGTTCCACCAGAAATCTGATATGAAGAAACACACCTTCATTCACACAGGTCAGCCCTGCAACTGCTAGGGTCAGCCCCAACATGAGGGCAGGTCTCAGAGGTTTCTCTGCAGCAGTCCATTCCTCCTCAGCTGGGACAGCACAAACACCTCCCTATGCTTCTCACTGTCCTGCTGCTGTTCATGTTATCTGAGCTGTACCTGGGCAAAGGAGGGTGATCTGGAGGAGCTTTAATGGACAGCAGCTGCAAAATAACCTACAAAAATCCTCGCAATCCAATCAGTGTTCCCTTAATAGGATCCACCAATGTTTATTCACAGGGCTTTTGTGTGAGATGATTTGTAGAGTATTGTATTCTTGTGGCCTTGATTTACAGCTGAGGTCCCGGGAAAATGACAGGTGAATTTGATTACAGCATTGCTTTTTGCAGGATCTACCAATTTACAATAGGAACAACAGGAGTCTCCTCCTCTAGATCAAACACTAAATTGGAGGGCCGAGGTCTTAGTCTAAATATTTGTTCAGAGATTGTCTGCACTTCCACCTGGACTTTCTGAGAAATGGCTACAGTTTGATACAGAATAGAAGGAGAGGTGCAGAGTTCTCAAGTTTCACTGTTACTAATAAACATGGAAACTAATATAAAGTGCAGGTGAATCACCAAAGGAAATTGTTTCAAAAGTATCACTCAGTGAGAAGGCAGGTTTATCAGAAATCATTAAAAGAATATCTTGCTTTTCAGACCTGCACCGTTCACTTGAAGTAGAGGGAAATGAATGTGTAAGATATGGAAGAACCCATAGACATGAAATATCAGTTAGACTGGACAAATGTATGGTTCAGATGACCAAAATCCTTTTCCCTGATAGTGGCCACTAGCAGATATAAAGGGTGAAGCCTAAAAAGGGCAAATATGTAGAGACACGGCACTATATGTAGCACTGCTTGGCTGTGACTTTTCTAGGTGACAAGCAGAGAATAGTAAATGTTACTTATAGAGATTTTTCACTGAAGGTTGCTGGAAGAAAATGACCAATTTATGAAGTAATACAAGAAGTATCTCCTTAGTAACTTTTTCAAATTATGCTTGATTAAGTAGAATTTCAGACAAATTCTGAATCAGATTATTTTCTTGTGAGATCAGAAACTGTGCCTGGGCTTTTAAAATGCTAATGTCAAAGCAGGTTTTTAACTGACTGAGGGATTCCTTTCATATGCACCATATATTTGTGGAATAAGCCTTCAGCACATTTTGCATTATTTTTTTTTGATTCTAAGAATCTGATCTTCAAACACCCAAAGAATTTGTTGTTCCCAGCTGAAGCCAGTGGGCTCTGCAGGTGCAAAGCCACTCTGAAAATCCGGCATGGTGTTGTGGTTGGGTTCCCTTTAATTTGTTATTTGATCATAAACAGTGGGAAAATATACTTAAATCCTGCTCCCATGGAGTTTTGTCACTGACTCCTCTATAGAAGTTCCAGAGGTTGTATCTATTCCTGTTTACATTATTTACCTGCAGGAGAACTTCAGGGCTCTGACTGCTAGCATTGCAGTGTGGGGAAGAGAGAGAACAGATGTCTGCATGAACCCTGCCCTTCAGGATTCACTTAATGGCCCTCAAACCTCCCTTGGGGACAGACCCCAGATCACTGGATTTGATTTAACAATTTCTATCTACCTATTCCACCTGCCTTCATGCTGATGGTATAGTAATCAGTGTCAGGCATTAATCACTTTTCCAGGAGTTCCTCATATTTCTAGGACACAAAGCCAGTTTAAACTACACAGAGCCCATGCAGACAAATACACTCACAAGGTGCGGTGTCCTGAGAGCACTCTGCTTCAGACTGCTCTCAGGACTATGCTGGGCTGATGGAGGTGCATCCAAGTCCAGGCCTGCTCAGCTGCAGTAGAGGCTCAGCTAATGCTCTGTCTTGGGCTCCCTCCATGTCTTTTTGTAAGAATGACTTCTTAGGTAAGCATACAAAAATCTCTTTGATAAGCTTTAAGTACCAGTGTATATTTGCTGTGGTCCCACATAAGCAGCATGCTGCCTCTTTCACAGCCTCTCTCTTTCCCACCTTCTGCTTGCAGGTGAGAAGCCTCATAAGTGCCAGGTGTGTGGAAAAGCCTTTAGTCAAAGCTCCAACCTCATCACCCACAGTCGGAAGCACACAGGCTTCAAGCCCTTTGGTTGTGATCTGTGTGGCAAAGGCTTCCAACGAAAGGTGGATTTACGGAGACACCGGGAGACGCAGCACGGCCTGAAATGAGTCCAAACTACAATACGGAAAGGGCTACAACACTATGAGAACAGACTCCCTTGGCTTCCCTGCTGGACCCAAGCCCTGTCCTGAACACAGACCCTGGCATTACCTTTCTGAACAAGAGCTCAAACAGGAAAGAAGAGGACAGAGCCATGTGTTGACAGCTCAACCTGAATGACTGTGAAGGGGCAAAGTAAAGGCTGGAGTTTCTCTCCTTCTCTTCCCCTTGTTGTTTCTGAAATAACACTCTTTTAGATATAAAGCCTATATATATACTCCAAAGACGGATAAGCTATCAAATATCTGCAAGCTGGAAAATATTTCTGCCATGGCCATGATGAACCCCTTCAAGTTTTCAGTAGCTTGAATCAGCTGGCAGGAAATCATGGGTATAACAGTGTTTACATGGGGTAATGACACAGACCCATCAGCATCTGCCCTGGTTGAGTTCAGTGCTGAATGGGCTCACTCTTGGATGACTTCCTGTCAGGAAAACCTGGAGGAACAGGACTGTGCAGTTTGACATCTTGCTGGTTTTTAACCAAAGGTACCAGCTTGTGTCTGATCCTGCTCTCACTTATTCTAGTGCAAATCAGAAGCTGCATTAACAGTTACAGAGAGGTCCTTTTTATCCTCCCTGAGCCACCTCTCTCTGTGCAAGGCCTGACTGCTTATGTTTGAAGCATGGAGGGTTACTTCTTCCTACATCCACTAGGGAGAAGGAAGCTTGTGAAAGACCAGTGGAAAAGCCAAAGCACAGAATTATGCCTTAGAACTAGAAACCAATCCAACAAGTGGACCTGCCTGAGGAGGGCAGGAGCACCAGGGAAGCACAGACTTTCTGTCCAGAACCATTACTGGCTTATGCACTCTGGGCTTGTTCTAATAACTGGAAAATAGCTACTTAATAGCATCAGTTGTATATTTGTTTTTGGTTTTTTAATTTTTAAAGGGAAACTTTCTGAGGTGGGCAGGACTTACTGTAAAAGTATAGTTTACTTAATTTGCCTTAACAACTCTGCATGTACCTCAGTTAAAAAAAAAAACAAAACTGTTTTTACTTTGTTGACAAGTTTGTAAATGTCCTTATTTAGATTTTATGGAGTGTCTTATGTTTCTTGATACATATTTATTAGAACAATGTTTTAAGTTAATAAAGTATCGAGGACGGTCCAGAGTGATTATTATTCAATATGTAACTGCACATTTGTGAATGTCACCATTACAACAATATACCACAGCGCCTGTCAGGGAATCCAAGGAGGGAATGCAGACACAAGGGCTGTAGTGATTAAAGAACACAACTGCCATGTTTATTTGTTCAATTCTTACTGATTTCAGATCAACATTCACACTTTTGAGAATAAGGATACACCATGGCTTGGACTATATCTATAAAAGGATTTAGGGGGGAAACCGCAGTTTTAAGGCTTTGCTTTGGAAATGTAGACAGCCAGAAGTCCCTGCTTAGCCCAGGAGCAACTTGAATATCTCCCACAAGATTAAATGTCTGGGAGTTTGCAGGGACACCTGAGTAGCAGGTGCATCATTTATACTTAAGCCTGTTGGGACTCACAATATGGCCTTTTGCCTGTCTGCCTGCCTTGCCAGCAGGGCTGGCTCCATCTGGCAGTTGCACCCCATACAAAAGAGAAGCAGGCAGATGATGGAGGGGTCCCTTGTCCTTTTCCCAACAGAGCACAGCATGGGAGCCTGGCTTTTTACATGTGCATGTAAGCTTGTGCGCCCACACGGGTATATACTCATGTTTCCAGCTTTGTACATTTATTCTGGACAAACCCAGTGAGCAGAGTCGCCCTGTGCCCTGCCGGGCTGGCCCAGCCCTGAGGCACCCTTCCTGCCCGGGGCCGGGACACTCACCTGCCATGGCGCCAAGGAGGTCCTCCCTGTTCTTCTGCTTTCTGTCACCCTTGACAATTTTGGTTGGCTCCGCATGTGGCTGTCCCGGCAGGCTGTGGCTGTGTCCCCTCAGGGCTGCCCCGGCGGGCTGTGGCCGTGTCCCCTCGGGGCTCTCAAGGCACGCTGTGGCCGTGTCCCCTCAGGGCTGTCCCGGCAGGCTGTGGCCGTGTCCCCGCGGGCTGTCCCGGCAGGCTTGGCCGTGTCCCGTCGAGGCTCTCAAGGCAGGCTGTGGCCACGTCCCCGCGGGGCTGCCCGGGCAGGCTGTGGCCTTGTCCCCTCAGGGCTGTCCCGGCAGGCTGTGGCCGTGTCCCCTCAGGGCTCACCCGCTCGGGCGGAGCTGCGCTCTGCCCCTGAGGTGCCCAGGCCGAGCTCTCACTGAGCGGCAACGCAGCCACAATCACAGCAACCAGGCTGAAGGGACGTGGCACAGGCATTGCAGGAGGTGCCAGCTGCTCTGAAAACCACATTAGACCCATCATGCTGGATTAATTAATGCGGAAGGTCAGTGCAGGAGACTCTGAGTGGTTTTGCGAAAGGCCTGTGATGTCCTGGGTCCCACCCAGGCCAGGAGAGGTTCCAAGGCATGCCTCAGCCAGTGGCACAGGCAGGCTTGGGGCTGTCCCAGGGTGATGCTCAATATTTGTTTTACCGGGAAGCTGTTGCTGTGAATGGAGTGAGTGCTGGCCTGTGGTTCTGGGTATGGGTTGGCCGGGGTGCAGCTGTTGCCCCCAGTCCCTCTGCCCTCAGGAGGACCTTTTCTGCCAGCCACAGCCTCCCTCCTTCCTCCCTCTGGGCAGGCCTTGCTCCAGCAGGCCCTGAGCAGGCTCAGTTGTTGGCATTTACCTTTAAAACTACAATAGCAATGTGTGCTTGCCCTCTTGGAGCATCCTGTTTCCAAACAGGGCAACTAGCGTGGCTTGAGTCTAGTGCTGCCCACAGGGTGGGGTGGATGGCTGGGGAGGCAGTATGGACACAGCACAGGTGGCAAGAATGTTCTTCGTGGGAAGAAACCCACAGGTGTTTTATTGGTTTAAGTGTGTCTGCTCCCAGAGCATGTTGCAGTTAGTGGTGTCTCAGGGCACAGCTGTTGGGCTGCAGCTCAGATACAAACCCCCTGAAATACTTGCGTGTTGCTGCATGGGAGGTTGTTCCCATGTCCCCAGCCCTGCTTGCATGAGTGCCAGTTGCTGGTTTGGGTGAAATGCAGCTACCCATGGAGAAAAGTCATGGCTTTAAGGTGGAGAATTGAAATGAAGAAGAGGAAAAGAAGATTTATCTGGGGAGAATCAGAACAGGCTACTGAGAGGCTGTGGGGCAAGTCTGAAGATTGGAAATATCTCTCTCAATGTTATTACTGTGTGTCATTAAAAATGCATTATGCATATTACATGACCCATTATTCATGAAGCAGGTTCCATACCTTTTGTTTGCCAGAGTAACAGTAGAAAGGGTAAGGAGAGACACTGGAGCACACCTTTGTTTCTTTCTGTAAATTTTTAATGACACCTCTAGCTAACCAGTTGGTGAAGCTCAGTTCCTGCATAAAAGTGGAAAGGCAGAGCTATCTACGGGACAACTAAGCCTTTCAGAAGCTAATTTGAGCTTGTGTTCATCCACACCAACAATGATTAAATTACCTATCAAGTGTGCAGAGCTATCAGGATTCAGGGCATTGAAAAACAAGGTGAATTTATCTGATTGATTTAAAAGACATGGGTGGAACAAGTGGGTTATAAAAATAAAAGGTCTTTTCCTTATAGATATTATAGAAGTACTTCTCTGGCAAGCTAAAGAACTTTTTACTTTGCTTCCAAAAGTTGTTTTGGCTGCACAGAAAACAAATTTATTAGTTGAAATCAAAATACTTTATCCAAATCTGTTAGCAGGCTGAATTAATTCATGAGGCAGAAACAAAATGCCTTATTAGGTTCCATCCGTATGCCAGGCAGAGATGTTTAAAATTAAAATATGCAAACATCATCTGTGTTTTCTATAGTCAGTTTCCAAAAGCTGATAGTAACACTCAGATTGGATATTGCAACACAAGGTAGAGAGCTGCTCTTCTGGGTCTTGCTCCTTCCTCAAGCAAAATATTTATTGCAGTTGAGGGGAGGGAGGAAGAGGTTTCTAGAATAAGCCCTGGGTGAAAGATTGCGAGACTCGTGCAATTCTGCTTGCAAGCTGTGCTGCTGTTGCATGTTGACAAAGGTGTGCTCCTCAAGCCTCTGCATTTTCCACCTGTAAGAGAAAAAACCAAACAGGTCAGTTGTATCAAATTTGTCTCCAGCATAACCACAGTTCACATCAGGAATGGATTTTGCCTTTACTCTGTAAAATTTGGGTCTTACTCTAAATAGTGAAACATAGCAGCATACAGCCCTTTGAGGAAATTCTGATTTAGAAAAGCACTGAAATATGCATGTAAGTCAATGGAGTGTGTCTCTAGCAGAGACCTTACTAGATGCCTGCTCAGAGTTAAAATTCCAGAGATTTTCCCTGCTGAATCTTAGACCTTACTCCATTGCCAAGCCACATCCTGTCTGTCTATTTTCACCTGCAGTGGAGGTGGCTTCTGAGAATGCCAAGGGTAATTTTTTTTTTTTAATTGTCAATAGGCTAGTGGTAGTTTCCAGTATTTTTTCCTCTGAGTAATGAAGCGGTCAAAATAGATTTCAGGCATGGAAATATCTGTTATGCATTATAAGGCATTTAAAATGATGGAACCAGATTTTAAAGGTATTTGTGCATCTAAAACTGCAGATACATCTGAATGTGGATTGGATATGTCTATGACTTCTTTACTGGGGGAAGAAAAATAAAAAAAACCCAACACATGAGTCTCAGAACATTTCTTGAGTCTGTGTCACACCAGTTTGTGATATGCACAACGTACGGACTGTAAAGAGAGAGCACATAAATGTGAAGGAAATGTTTCATACATTATAAAAATGCTGGCCACACCTTGTTGGAATAATGTTGCCTAACGGATTTACCTGGAACATGTGATAAAGCTTTTAAATAAGTTGAGAGCAAACCACTTTTATGTGCTTGTTCTAACATGCTACTTCTCATCTGCATTTTTGAGGTTGTTTTTTTTTTTTTAGTAGACGTGACATGACAAAAGAATATTGAATAAGGCAAACATAGAAGGAAAATAATGTCACAGGTATTGAAATTATTTTCTTTTAATACTGTGCAACCATCTTTTTGACACATGTGGGATCCCCCAGCCAGCTGGATACTGCAGTGCATGGGGTGCATCCACCCCACTCACTGGGGCTCAGCGTCCATAGGCACTGGCAGTTGCTGCAGCAATGCTGGGCTCCTCTGCTCAAGCAGCCCAGAAGGCAGCTCAGCTGCTGGCTCATGCTGCCAGCTCCCTCCGTGGCACACGGCTCAGAGCTGGCTGCTCCACCACCGCGCTGGCACTGGCTGGCAGGAGTGCAGCACTGCAGGTGTTGAAAATGGCCAAGATATTCCATTGATTTAGGTACTGTAATAGGGCCAGCTGGCATTAAAGGGAAATTGTAATCCTCTGAGGTGACAGACAGTTCATTATGATACATAACTTATGTTTTACACTTTTTTCCCCCCCATGAATAATACATTTCCAAAGCTCACTGATAGACTCAAGGGGTGAGTTCAAAGGGGAAAAAGAGGTATCATTGCAAAGAACAAGAAGCTAACTCCCAATGTTTTTAGTATTTTGTATAGGAAAGTTTAAGGGTTGAAGTGAAGAGCCACAACAAATAGTATTTTATTATGTGATCAGCCAGAAAAGAATAAACATTACTTTGGTCTAAATTGCTTCCAAGGACTCCTAGCAATTAACTTTAACTGATTTAAGCCAAGGGCTCTTATGTTGCCTGTTATACCTGCTAAATTCCCAATTTCACTGACTATCAGCTCTGCCTCTACTATTGCCCTTTGCCTCTCTGAAACACAGTAACATGGAAAGGCAGGCAGGAGGGTGAGACCAAAAAGGGAATGAGTGAAAAATAGTCTTGATCCTCTTTATGTAGCTGTCTAACTCTTTGAGGTGCTGCAGGAACGATGGTTGCAGGTAGACATCCGTTATTACAAACCTGCACTCAGGGAGCTCGGACCTTCTGGACCAGGATGCTCTTGCTCTCACTGAGTAATAGTGAGTGTGAGTCAGG